GTGCTTGTGTTCGGCTTTATGGTCCCCGCTGTACACAGCGTTGTTAGCTGGGAGACCAACCTCAGTCCCATCGTTCCGGTACGATAAACTGCACCACTGACAAATCGGCTGGACTAACGTCAAAATTATGTTTAATTGAAGGAATGGGCTGGAGACATAAGCCCAGTCAGCAAAAACAAGACGCTCGATTCGCTGCCCCGCCACTAATTTGGCTTATTAATAGCTCGTGTCGGGTACTGGTACTGTTTCACTGCGCGACGACGGTACCATCAGCGCAAGGAGTCTGAATCAACTCGACCTTAACAGCGAGTGCCCGCTTACATACTGCTTTAATTTATACTTTTTAAACATGCGCTGCTTTGGCCCTGTAGCACCTAAAAATGTTGTTGTGCTTTTTTGAAGAGCTAATTTAAGTACTCTACAAAAAAGCGCTTTCGAAAACGGCATCTTTAAAAAAAAGCAATAGGAGCTTTGATGTTTTTTTTAAGTCTGACGTTGAAAAGTGCTCGCTTAACTGAGGGTCGCTCTTAACCACGCCATGGCACAAAAGCTGTGATCCGATTGGATGAGCGCTTGCTAGGGCTAGAGTTTAAAGTAAATAAAATGACAGGAAGTGCCACGGACATTCGCAAGTGTCATGGCAAGGGGCAATTGCCATGTGCCATGCTACTTTTAATTGCATTTATGTATATTTTAAAAATTGTTTTCATGATGGCACAGTGGCAGGTCTATTCGTAACGACGCCATGCCATGGCTCAATCTCTAGTGCCATGGCATGGCACACGTGGCAGTGGCTAAGAGCCACCCTGAGAAAAAAGCTTTCTGTTTTTCTAAAAGCACTTTGATTTCGAAACACTTTTTACAATGACATTTTATCAAATCATTGCGATAAAAAATAAAAAGGAATTCCAAAGGTGTTAAACACAGCGTTTCTTTTTGAAAAAACAACGACTCTTAATTATTTTGGCTTTCTAATATGATCAAATATTAATTGAGGCCTTTTTTCGAAAGCGTTGAAAAATCGAGCTCTTACCAAACGGTTTTCGTTTAATGGTCAGCCAGCCATCCGTCAAACCGACGTCTACCACAAACACCGACTCCCTCAGTAAGGCCGGTGCGAAAATGAACGCTGCGACCATCGCCGAGCCCTTCAGCTTGGCCGTGCGCCAGTACATTGAGCAGGACATGGGTGGCGTGGGTCCCAAACTCGTGGGTTTGCTGGCTCACGGCCCAAGAAGTACGCCGAGTGGACGGGCAAGGCCTGTGCACGCGACGGCATCCGCTACGAGCTGCGCGAAGTGCCCAAGGACGAGCTGCTGGAGGCTTTGGAGAAGGCCAACAAAGACTCGGATGTGCACGGTATTCTCGTGTACTACCCGTGCTTCGGCGCCTTCCCGAGCTTCTTCGGTGGCACCATGGACGATTTTTTGCGCGACAGCATCAGCATTAAGAAGGACGTGGAAGGACTGTGCCAATTCTACCGTGGCAACTTGTACCGTAACATCCGCTACGTAGACGACGAGAAGACGCAAAAGTGCGTGCTGCCTTGCACACCTTTGGCAATTGTCAAGATCCTCGAACACCTTGGCGTTTATGACAAGACCAAGCCTACTGGCGACCACTTGTCAGGTGTTAACATCACGGTTGTTAACCGTAGTGACATTGTAACAGCGAACGTCTCCTACTCGCTCACTTGCAGAGGTCGTGTACGATGTCTGGACAGTGAGTACGACGGAAGAAGTAAGCGTTAACACACTACTCGCCCCACACTTGGCAGATTGGGAATTGCTGGAGCTCCACCCTTGGTGGACTCCGTTAGAAATAAAAATATCAACCAAGTATCTAACGGGCGAGTGACTACCAATACTAAAAAGACTTCTGGTTTCTGAGACTGCGTCGTCCAGGTCTCATACTCCCCTGAAACTGGAAGTCTTCCTTAGCTGTTTGCGCGTCATCTGGGTCGGATTGATGTTCTGGTTCTATATCTGTATCCCCATCAACTTGAGTACACAGGCATTCGACACCAAGCTACTTTCGATGTTGGCGAAACTTGCCCTTACCCAATGGCTTGGTTAAGGCATCAGCAGGCATGACCTTAGACGGCATGTGTTTTACCACAATGTAACCAGCATCGACATAGTCAATAACCTTGTATATCACCAGATCTAGACACTTGATCTTGTGATGTCCGCTGGAATGTGTCATGACCGGAACAGCTGCAGCATTGTCCGTCCAGAGAAGAGCTGGAAGCTCGACAGGAACTTGTAGTTCGGCTAACAAGTTTTGTAGCCATCGAATTCGATCTGCACAGCAGCTGGCTGCTGTGAGCTCAGCACTGCATGTATCTTTAACTGCACTGGGCTGTAGCTTACTTTGGTATGCTACAACACATCCACCAAGTGTTACAACTTGGCCAGTAACAGATCGACGAGTGTCCATATCATTGCCGAGGTCAGCATCAGCATATCCAGCGATAGAAAGATTGCCCTTTGCAGAAACGTTTGGTAGCACCAATCCATAGGAACTAGTCCCCTTCAAATACGTAAGAGCGCGTTGAGCCAGTCCAAAATGTTCCTCTGTATAACAGTCAAGAAACTTGCTCAAGACACGAACCGCGTTCGCGATATCGGGTCGCGTACAACGCACCAAATACTGTAGGGAACCAACAATTTGACGAAATGGTAGATCACTTCTGTTTACGTCAGGTCCGTAGGGTTTGCTGGGTCTCACAGGTTTTACTTTTGGGTCCATTGGAGTACGGACCACACGAGCAGTGTGATCGCCATATTTTTCCACAATGTGTTGAATGTACGATTCTTGTGACAACGTGACTCGTGTCGGCTCCACTTTTACATTCATGGCCAGCAAGAGGTTGATCTTCCCCAAATCCTTTAGCTTCAATTCACTCTTCAACTGTGAAATTAGCCACGTGATACTCTCATTTTTAGCCGCAATAACGACATCATCAACGTAGACTGTAAGGAAGATAGGAGAGTCGTCGACCCACTTGACGTAAACGCCATCTGCAATTATGCTGGATTTGAAACCAAGCTTCACTAGATATCTCTTCAAAGTTGCGTTCCAGATCGGAGGAGCTTGCTTTAAGCCATATAAGCTCTTCTTCAACAAGCACACACGTTCAGTGCCATCGTCGAACAACTCTGGTTGCTCCATATACACGTCGACATCCATCTCACCGATTAGAAATGCCGTAGTGAAGTCAATTTGGCGAAGTTCCAGGTCATAGTAGAATGCGAGCACAATGACAGCACGGATTGCCTCCATGCTCACAACTGGAGAGTATACTTCCCAATAGTCTGAACCAAACACTTGCTCGAAACCCCGGAGAGTAAGTCGAGCTTTGTAGCGTACAATTTCTCCGTTTTGATTCCTTTTAATGACAAACACCCAGCGACTGGTCATGATCTTAGTGTCCGACGGATGGTTCACTAAAATCCACGTATGATTCGCTTGTATGTCAGAGAATTCTGTTTGCAAAGCTTGCCACCACTTATCACCATCAGGACCTGCAAGCGCTGCACGAACTGACTTGGGCAGCTTGTCCGTAGTTGAGATGAAGTAATTGGCAAGCGAATAGCCATGTAGCCTTACGTTTGGACGACGTGTACGTGTTGATCTGCGAAGCGTAACAATTGGGTCTTTGGTGTGTGTTTTCCGACGTCGCTTAACTTCAACCAAACCCGGTTGTCGCTTCTTTTCAACGTGTTTTGTACAACTCGTATCATTCTCATGTCCATCGAGACGAATTATAGAAGTGGAGTCACAATTTGGAGTATCATAAGTCTGGGCCAGCTCCCCTGTTCGTCTGCGTTTTGTTGGACCTGAGTTGCTATTATCAAACTCAAGCTCCCCCGCTCTTCTAACTTTCGTCTCTTCCACTACATCGCCTCCAACCTTAGCATCCATAGGACCGACTTCATCGGAGCTATGCAATGCCAGTGCAGTTTCATCGCTGCTACAGGAGCTCGAGTAGTCATGAAGAGGAAGTCTTACATACGGGATTGAAACAGGTAGCACCACACCAGGCTTCTTCGCGCAGAACTTGTCAGGCAACTGATCCACATAGTCAGCCGCCACTGTCCACTGTTCGCGAAACTTTACGTCACGAGACTCCACAATGTGTCCGGTAACAAGATCGAGGACACGATATCCAGTCGTGGATTTAGGATATCCTAGAAACAATGCCTCTTTCGCTGTCGTATCTTGTTTACCTTTCCGTCTTTGCTTAGGGACGAAGTACGTTGCAGCAGAGCCCCACACACGTAGACCAGATACATCAGGTACACGACCTTCAAATAACTCGTAAGGTGTACTGTCTTTAATGGCTTTGGATGGTGAGAAGTTGCGTATCGTTACCACAAACTTGAATGCCTCTCTCCATAGTTTTGTTGGAAGTCCACTGGTTACGAGGAGAGCGCGAACAGATCGCAGTACTACACCATTCATCTTTTCGACGAGACTGTTTTCTTCGGGTGTATACGTATTTGTATACAGCGGACGAACTCCATTGTCTCGGAGGACTTGTTGTAGCTTTTGATTTACAAACTCAGTTCCTTGATCAGACCCCAGGAATCTGACAGGTCGCTCACATTGCTTCAGCTGTAAGATCAACGTCTTCAAGTTGTCTGTACATTGAGACTTTTGACGGAGTAAGAAGCCCCATAGGTATCGTGAGTATTCATCCCCCACGAGCTGAAACATCACGTTTCCAGCAACCGAAACCTCACCATAGTGACAGACATCGGTCATCAGTTTTTCACAACACCTTATTGATCGACATGGAGACACATTCTTGTATGACATTCTTCGCGATTTTGCTAATGTACAGCTTAGGCAATCCATCGCATCTCTAGTGCGCTCACTAGGAGACATCGTCATACCTGTAGCCATCCGATCACGATGGAGTTGCTGCAATGCTGCAAAATTCACATGACCAAAGCGAAGATGCCACCGAAATATCGATTCACCTCCAGCCACAAATGATGCAACTACTTGAGGTGAATTACACAAACCACGAGTGCGATAGTAACCTCGACTCTTGACAAACACTATTGCTGTCGGCCCCTTCCATAATAGCCGTCTTGGAGGTCCGTCCTGAGGATACTGTGACTCACATTGCCAGCCTTGCTCTTCAAGTGCATTAACACTTAGCAGATTAACGTGACATCCAACAACATTACGAACTCCAGTAAGAACGCAATCAAGCGCTTCTCCAGTTTCGCCACGTCTATCTTGTGTGGATAGGAAAGATACAGGCAATTGAGACACCAAATGTTCCGTTGTTACTTCTCCTGTCCACGATTCATGTGGCGTGTTCGTCTCCACGTAGTGCGGGAACTGTTTCATAAGTGACCGGTCAGCGCAGGTATGCGTAATAGCTGCTGTGTCTGATATCCACTCCAATGAATTAGAGGTATCAAACGTCGACAATAATGTAGACCCAGTACTTGACACAGCACAAGTATTTTCAACACGACCGATCATTCCCAATGGTAACGGCTGAGGAGGTCCACCTTTGTTTCCCCCATATCCTCTAGAGCTATCCCCGGAATTGTTGCCACACTTTGCTTTTTCAGCATCTACGTTGCCGTGCTTCAGATCAAATTTGAGCTTACGACACTCAAATTTGTGATGGCCTTCTCTATCACAATAGAAGCACTTGCCCTTCTTTCGTTTACCAGGACCAGACTTTTGATTGGCTTTGCTTCCTCCTTCACTGGATTTAGCTCCACGAGATTGTGCTCCACTGGGTTTAATCCAGCTAATATGTTTACTAGATTTGTCACCAGTTTTCTGTTTCTTAGCCACGTGCATGATCTTCGAGTTTCCCTTTTCCTCATCGCGGACGATCTCATCCATCTCGGTCTCGGACTTCAGTGTGTTCAAGACTTGCTGCAGAGTGGGTCGGGACCCGGGAGCTATGATGCGAGAAAACTGACGCACGACATCTCTGTGTGTCTGCACTACTCCCATGAGAATCACGTCCACAGTGAGATCATCATCGATAACCTCGACCCAGATTAGCCAACGCACGACGTGTATCGTGAATTTCCTGAAGCCAAGAATCCATCGTCTGCTCACGAGTGTAAGTTGCGTGGAAGAATTGCTTCAATACCCACACGTAATTAGAAAACTAACGCTTAGTATGGTGTGCTTCCAGATCTTCCGACATTTCCTTGCCAGTTGGAAGATCACACATACGCTCAGCGTCTTCAACTTTAGCACCTCGAAGCAACGTATCTTTCACAAAGAAGTCCAACATATCGTAGCGCTGTTGAAGTTACCCATTTACAATCGGACGCTGTACGGATCCATCGATCAGACCCCAAGCATTAAATCGATGTAAATAGGCCATAACTTGAGCGCGATAGAGGTTAAAGCTTCCTGCCATTTTTGGTGGGTTTTTGTTCACATCCAACGCTAGGTTAGGCGGTGGCAATGGTATCCTTCGTTGTTGTTCTTCATTAGCGTGCGACCCTCGCTGGAGCGCTCACCACCGGAGTTCCAGTCAAAATGAGTGTTGAAGTTGGTGAGCTCAACGCAGAAACAGACTGCGGCGGTGGAGACTGAAGGACAGGAATCCCGCCAGCACCACCAGCCAACGGACCTACCAGTCCAGCCGCTACTGACACTGCAGAGCCAGCATCCGTCGCGACGCGGTCGGAGACGGAGTACCAAGTAAGTCTGACATCGAAGGCAGCGTCCACGACATCGTCAGCGTTCACGTAAGTTCTGGAAGTTTACTCCAATTTTGGGCTCATAACCCTAACAGCGAACGTCTCCTACTCGTTCACTTGCAGAGGTCGTGTACGATGTCTGGACAGTGAGTACGACGGAAGAAGTAAGCGTTAACACACTACTCGCCCCACACTTGGCAGATTGGGAATTGCTGGAGCTCCACCCTTGGTGGACTCCGTTAGAAATAAAATATTAACCAAGTATCTAACGGGCGAGTGACTACCAATACTAAAAAGACTTCTGGTTTCTGAGACTGCGTCGTCCAGGTCTCATACATTGTCGGCCGCCCATTGGCTGCTATGCTTGCGAATGACGGCGCTGACGTGTACAGCGCCGACATTGACTCGCTGTACCTATTCCGTCGCGGTAAGCTCATCCCGAGCGAAGAGACGCAGGAGACGGCGTGTAAGAAGTCTCGTGTCATCATTACTGGCGTCCCCGTTAAGAGCTACAAGCTGCCGCTTGAGTGGGTGAGCGAGAACACGGTCATCATCTACGTCGCGTCCTTCAAGAACGTGGACGATGCCGAGCTGCTTAAGATAAAGGGCGTGCAGTACGTGCCACTGGTGGGTAAGGTCACGGTGGCCATGCTCGAACGCAACCTGCTGCGTCTGTACGAGAACTTCCACTGGAAGCCGTAGAAGGTCTGGCAGTAAGAGTGTGGATGAGGATAGAGAGAACACCTCGCTCACCGCTAAAATGCATAAATCTTCCTCGTTACAGGGAAATTCACAGCGTGTGCAGTACCGTAATACGCTAACTCCATCCAATTACAGTTAATAGCGCCTATGCTGACTCCATTATCTCTACATGCACTAAACTGGACGCTGTGACTTTATTCTGGTCGTTCACGGCTTTCGCTTCGAGTGTGTGCGGCCCCACGCCGAGTCCACGCAGCAGCATATTGCCATCGTCCACGTGGGTTTTCTTCAAGTAAATGTCGTCATCAATCAGCAACTCGAGAGTTTGTACATTCACGGCTGTGTACTCGAGGACAATAGACTGATGTCGTTCGAAGATAGCACCATCCAAGGGAGACGTTAGTGATAGGTGTACCTCGTCCCCAATAGAGGGAGTAAGTGGCTTTCGAACGTAGACATCTTTCTTGTATGTCGTGAGCTCTTCGATTAGCCCAGGAATGGGGATAGTAACTTCGAGATGAAGCTTAAATATCGCGTCGTGTGTGAATTTTCGGAGAGGAATCGACAGTGCGATTGAGCACTTCAGTATTGTCGTCTTCTCTTTCAAGTGCAAGAAATCCTATTTCCGACGTGAAAACCTCGTCGTCCAAAAATAATTTGTATCGAAAAACCTCGGCGCCATACAAATGCAGAGCTTCAGTGGGAAAGTTGGCAAGTTGCCACTCGAATGAAACACCTTGTGGCGTGATTATTGAATTTCCCACGGGGCTCACAATGTGCACGGAAACATTCGAGATATCGTACGCCGAGAACAGTTCCTCGTAGTTCGATAAGGGGAACACTACAGGGTGAAAGAAGCTGTACACACACGCAAGGAGGTACGCAACTAACACCGTGGCAGCTCCCCCCACAAACAGAAGCTCTTGCTGGGTGGGATCACCATTATTTCGCTTCATCTTGGTCTCCGTCAAAAGTCCCTTGCTCTTTGCCACCGCTTGATTTCCCGTCGACTCTGGACGTCCCTTAGCCACAGCCTTCGAGCTCTTATTTTCCCTCTCCGGCGGTCTTTTATCTTCTTGTTGCACGCCATCGTCTGAATGTACATTCGGATCAGCACAGTCGTCCTCGTGCCCCGCCTCGGCGATGTGAGCGTTCTTGCCTTTCATGCTGTTTTTCGATTCCGGATCTTTCATGCAAATCTCCTGCTCGATTGCCTCCGGATGCGGAGTGTCTGCCGAATTGCCATCATCCTCCGACTCGCACGAGGTCACCTCCGATGTGATAGTGTCTAAGAGCTCTTGGGCCTGTAAGTACATGAACTCACTACCATTATCACTTGTTAGGATATCCACTTTTGGAGTCGAGCAAACGCTTTAAGCGCTACTAACACAATTGCTGCCGTTTTGTTTCGTAAGAGCTTTGCGTACCCCAGCCTTGAGTTGATGTTGATAGCAGTCAAAATCGGCCGTTTCTCCCAAAACGCAAGATCAATTTGCCACGAGTTGGGGTTATGCGAAGCTATTTTGAAACCATTGAATCTCTTCTTTTGCTCCTGAAATCGTTGAATATCGGGCTGACTCCCATACCAATCCTTTACTATTTTGAAAGTTATCTTAGGATTCAACTCCTTTGCTTTCTGATACAGAGCTTGAGCTCCTATAAAACCGGTTTTTGGGTCATAGTAGAGTTTCTTTAATAGCGCGTCCATGATCTATATTTACATTAAAAAAATCCCCAGTGGCTAGCTGCTTAAATTACAAGTGGTTCAGTCGTGATACCATCATCAAGTACTCGACGTTTGTCATAGTACTAGTTAAGCGCTGTTTTGGTTTGAGTATAGGTGATGATAGACTTGGCTTCTTTCGATAGTCTGAACCCCTTTTTTGTACCTTGTAGCATGATGCGATCCCGTACGACAGTCTCAAACCCATCAGAATTAAAAACACCATTGTTTCGACCACTTCCCTGTTGAATACCCTTCGCTGAAACCTTTACTTTGTATGTCTCATCGGGTAGTTAGCAAATATAGTTCTTACTCGATAGTGAGACCATAGCATCACCTGACCATTCATCTTTGAACAAACCAGGCGTACGGCGATCAAACTTAGCTACCTCAATGTTGTAGTCACGTAGGAACCAATCGTATTTATTGCTCCTTGAAGTATGTTCGTAGCTCAGGCTTAATACAGTCTTGAAATGGATTATCACAGCTGAAAGCGATATAAGCCGAATCAGTGTCCATCTCCTGATACTGGAAGTCAGAGCGATCGAAGTAGAAACTTATGCAGTCATAGTAAAACTGAAGCATGCGTAGCTTAGCAAGCTGATAGATAGCAATCGACAAATGGATTAGGTTCTTATTATTGAGTCGGCGCTTCTTCATCGTGATCTCACACGCATCATTAAGCTCCTCGAGACCATGGGACGTAAAGTGTTCGATCTTGTTCTTAATAGCTTTGTCACTCGACTCATACTTAACCTCTTTGTGCTTGCTCATAGCCATGCCAGATCGACCAAAAGCACTGTTGCCTACCAGTTTCACCATCTCGGCAATCATAGCCTTCGACTTATCAACATCACCCTCTCGCCGGGCGTTTGATACAGCCTCCAAAAATGGAGCAAAAGCTTTATGGGAGCTCGCTTTTATGAAGCTGTAAATCTTGGTGATCTCCAAACCATGAGAGAGATACTACTTCAGCAAAGATGCGTATCTGAGAATCTTTTCACCAAAGTAGCTACCAAATAACGTGCGAGCTGGTTTTGCTCGGCTTTGCTTGCGCGCCTCATTGTGTTCGAACATTTGCTTACCAATGACGCTATCATTCGTACAGTTGATCAGTACATTCTTGAAAATTGGAGTCATCTCACGAAAGTACTGTTTAAGGTATTCTGGTGTTCGAATATCACATTCAAGAAAGCCGAATACTTTGTATGCTTTGATGTCATCGATGATACCATCATACGCTTCAACCGTAGTCAAACGACCGCATGGCATCTCACTACCAAGGGCCCATAGGGATAGAGCGTTAGCGTCGTATCCGATAATTTTGTTGCAGATCTTACCTCCACGAATCTTCGTCTCGTTTCGCTTAGCATACCTGCTGAATATAATTGATGGTCTTGTTAGCTTTCATTTTCCCGTAAATCTCAGATTCCTCCTTGTCAATCGAAAACACCAATCTGTCTGCGTTAAAATCAAGCAGTGTCTTGTATCTGAACCCCCTAAGAGACATATCTTTTCGAGCGGTGTTGCATGAAATGCAGCTGATTAAGATATTCCCATCAGTGTGCCCAAGATTGTTATTGATTCTATCAGCGGAAGCGGTATCAGCAGTCAGCTGACAATAGCATAGACCACACAGATACTTTTGCTTTTGCAGCAATGTATTCACGTGCTCGAGCGTCATACCAAATTTTCGTTTTGCCTTAGCAACCTGACTCTTGTAGCCAGCCATGCGCTTCGCTGGAAATCGGAATGCGTTAGCAGGCTTCTTATCCGGATATTGGAGATTATTGAAGCAGGTCTGATACATAACCTTCTCTGAAAGACCAGGTAGGGGCACTCCATCCGCAAACATATCCAGATCGAAGCGCTTAAAAAAGCTCTCGCTGAGCCTTGATAGCTTTGGTGAAAGGGGCTACGTCGAGATTATTGTACCAGATCAGTAGGTCTTTGATCGATTTCATCTCGTGGTAATCCCACATGAACTTCACTCGTTCGTAGTCATCGCTCGTGATGCTCGTTCCACGGAGCTTACTATCAAAAGCTGACTTAGGTGGGATAGTAGTCTGCTTTAGAACATTGAACGCGGTGATGTACTCGTAAGGGAAAAGACCCTTACCAAGACCACAGACACATCTAATTTTGTCATCGCATTTGCAGCCACCGAGATATGTTGTAAGATACTTGTCGTAGCTGGTGCCAGCTGGTACATAGTTAGTGATATCAAGCATTTTCATGTCCGATGTAGCAATGCACATGTAGCTGGGGTTCTTGATGACAGATTTGACGTTGTCGGTACCAATTACGGCAAACAAATCTTTCTTAATCAAGTTAATATCATATCGACCAGAATTAAAGCCGAATACTGGTACCTGGTCAAGCTGCTGTTTCAGTTTCCCATAATCAGACCTTTGCTTACCAAAACCAAGACTGCGGTGAAAGTCAAAGAAGCTGGCATACTTTCCCTCCTCTTCAATCCAACTCTCCACATCAGACATCTTGTACTTTTTTATCAGAATTAGCGCCTGGGACTTCCATACCTGTCAGACCATGTGCATTGATGATTTTTCGTAGAAGCGACATATATTTATTGACATTGTACTGCTGAATCTTAACCGATACATCACCAATGTAATTGAACATTTCGGTAAGTAGCATCTTTGGATCGTTATTTACAAAGCAACGCACCCCCTCGGTTAAACTATCAGCTACTGATACCGACACAGGAATGTGTTCGTTCGTGAAGACAGTATTCTCCCCGTGTTGAGTCGCGGTAGGCTTAAGAATGGCCTCAAAGTCATAAACGATGAAGTGATCGATGTACTGGTCAGTATTCTTGATTGAATACTTCGTAAGCAGTGATCGTATTACGTTCTGAGCTGGTTTGTAGATAGTTGGCTCAGCTGGGAAGCTTTCGATATTCACGAGCTCACATTGATTCTTTTTGTGATTTTTTACTTTTTCAGCGCTGACGAAAACCACTTCACACTTAGGGCATTGATACTTAGCCTGAAGCATGTCAATGTTCTTGATGTAAAGAGCATGATTCTCGAGCGATAAAATATCCAAAGCTTCATACCCCTTGTCCGATCTACGAATGCATTCTACATTTCCGGAAGCTACATCCATGCTATATACGCTAATACCGAGTTGGAAGCAGTCCTCAACCTCATCGAGCTGTAGTAGGTCAATAGGCTTGAAACTTCTAAATGGACTCAGCGTATACTTCACCCTCTTGAAAGAGCAGTTGCGCTTGAATACCTCCTTCACCTGAGCCTGAATTCTGCGAGGATCCTTCTTAGGGCTCTGGAATGTATGCCAGGCGAAACAGTGGAAGGCGCACTTGTTGTTGGTCGTAGGGAAGTTGA